GGGTGGGGGGGGCAAAAGACTTAGTAATTAGTGCAAGAGGTCAAATACACATATCATGCTAGCAATACTTCTTGTTTCAGCTACTTCCATTTTACTTACTGTGCCAGTAACCATTCCAGTAGGAAACCGAATAGCCCAGAGTCCATAATTGCAGGATAATAGCAGAACTATAGAACTACTTAGACAGATAACTGATTGATCAAGTGCAGGCTACATTCAGGACAAGAAATGGTAAATGTAATTATTGGTTCAATCACTGCAGCAGACAATAATAATGCACAAATCTTTGTTTATAGTAAACTATGAAACATCACTTCTAGATTTGGAGGTATTGTGACTTCATACTCAATATGAATTTACAGTCTGTTGTTCTTGAACCCAGTCTAGCTGGCACTGAATTATTTTTCCATGGAACTGAAATTCGCCTATTGCACATGTGATACAAATTGATAATTTCTATAATAGATTCATCTTCTTGATCTAAATACCAGAAACCTGATTGGAGACTACCTTCATCCTTTAGCTATAGTCATATATCTTTATTCACGTCTAACCAATAACCATTCACCAGAATGAAGTCTGTACCAACTGACATGAGTGATGACTTTAATGAAAGTGTGTGATACACTGTAAAGTCAAACAATGTTTTGGTAGCTTATGTATCAACCAGAAAGGAGGTGGGCTGGCCACCAAACCTTCTGAAAAAGCTGACTACTATGCCCCAAGATTGTTGGGCAAACCCAATCTAGGCATCATTAGTTTTCTGGAATTGGAAAAGCAATAGCCATTGTTTAAAGTCAAATTGCTCCCAAGCCGAAATGGCACATATGAGCTGCTACTGAGCTTAAGCTGAATTGTAAGAAGTAAGTGAGAATGGCGCACAATTCTCGTGGATAGAATGCCTGTCTATTGCAGATTAACTCACAGGTAAAACCTGGCATTCATCATACAGCTGGATATACTGAAACCATTGGGATAAAGCGTATTCCGTGAGGACACAACAGCATGACACACATCAGCTTCGAACTCACAATCATCCAACTACAACCTGAGGTGCCTGAGTCTCATCATCTGTTGATGGAACTACTGCTACAATTGTCACTGAAGTGTTCTTCCATTTCAAGGACTGGTTTGAAGTGTTAAACTGTGTCACAATGGACATGGCCTCTGTGAGAGTGATGATATCCCTCACTTCCAGGTGTTGCACAAGTTCATTGGGAAGCCACTCAATGAACTTCTTGATTCTCTATTGGGTCAAGTTAGTTATACAGCTTGTGCACAGAGGTTTCCTCAGTAATCTTGCTGCTCTTTATCTAGTTGTTCAAGAGTGTCAAGAGCCAGGCAACCTAAGCTCAAGACCATTCACTGCACAGCCTACTCCTGAGTCCATCAATTTCAGGCAGTTACCTGTGATCCAAATCCTCTCTTGAACATTGGGGGCATGAATGCTTAGCCCTGTTCACAATATCCTATGTACCAGGCTAAAGCCTCTGTCTCTCTTGTAATCCCACTGGTACTCAACTGTAGGTTGAAATGCATATATTGAGTTTTTAGCTGGAGCTGGTAGCTGTGCCATCTCTCTACTATGCTGCAGTATACCAATCGCCCCCACTTCCCTTCTGTCAAGATCGATCCTCATGGGTACCATTTGCTTGAATGGTCTGGGTGTACCAGGCATGAGGCAATCTGCTTAAGTCGGCAGTGGCAGACCAACTGATGTATGGACATTCACGACATTTGCAAATGTCTTATGTCAAGGAGAAGAGTTCTTCTGCACTTGATATTTCCCTCATACAACCATCTATCTTCAACTTCAAACTTTCCCTATTGGCCACAAATAATTCTACATCCAGAAAATGTCACTCTATTTTTTTATATTTGTTCTTTAAAACTCTTTAAACCCAGAGATTAAGCAATGGTTAATATGCACATTATCATTTCAGAAATTCCACAATAAACGCTGATGACATGGCACCAAAATTTCTTCTTCCTATCTACTTATGGCGTTTTCAGGTAAAACTGATTTCCCTACAAGTATCAGATAGGCAAACCTGCAAATAACCACAGATTAGATAAAGAAATAAAGGGAAGTTTCCTGTAATAGATAATTTGTCTGGTAACATTTAAATGTTAAATAACAAGTCTGGACAAACGTGAACGAATGAACACAATATTTATCATAATGAATAAACAGAAAGTATAGTGTGCATACTATGCAGACGAAATGACAGTCCTTTCTACTAGGTTGCAGTTAGCACCACACCTTTGATTTCCTGAAAGAAATCTCTCCTTTGACGATCTCTTAGTAGAAAACTGGCTCCAGAAAACGTGCCTAAATTCAATAGGTTAACTTGCTTTCTTTGTCCAGTCGACAGCATCACCTCGTGAACATTGCTCCCTAACAGTATTTTTGGCTGTTACATTTAGTCACCATCATAATCAGCCAACAAAGGATATTAAAGTTCCAATCCTTATAACATGGATACCATATATTACTGCTCTATCCCTTCAGGGGCAGAATGTGCATCAAATTTTAGAGAGAACAAGGAAATAGTGCAATTACAACAAATTAATCTTAACGACTTTCTAAACTACAAATTGCTGTCGTTTCAACACAGAAGTTGAAAATACTAAAAAATTCTGTATCATTTACGTATGCCTGCATATCACACTCCTCTATTTTCCAATCCCGTCAAATACAAAGCATATTGCTGTATTATAAATTCAAAATATCCGACTTGAACACATCTTTACGATCTGCGCCGAAAGGACTGTGACATATATATGCCAATCAGCGTTAAAATGTAGTTTTGATACATGTGGCATTACAACAAACAGAAAACATCATAATATGTAAATTAAAATGAATGTGTTTAAATTGTGTAATAAATATATAAGTTTGTTTGTTTGTTTGTTCGTTTTTGAATTTTGCGCAAAGCTACACGAGGGCTATCTGCGCTAGCCGTCCCTAATTTAGCAGTGTAAGACTAGAGGGAAGGCAGCTAGTCATCACCACCCACCG